AGGAAGTAAATCTCTGTTCCCAGTTTCGTAAGAGGATCTTTTCCTCTTATCATTAGTGGGGTTTGAGTATTCTCCAGAATTTTTGTGCATTTGAGACGATAAGAAATTTTTTGCATTCTGTTAATGTGAATAATTACATTGGTTTAATATTAACAAGTAAATCAACTGAGCACAAGAATACCAACCGTCCTGATTTGCCCAGGAGTATCCTAGATTTATCACAGAATGTTCTGCATTCTAGGAGACCCCACCAGGACCGTTGTTCGCCTCACTTGCGTCCCTTATGGAAATCAGACTTGGCATGATGTACACCCTCGTCTAGGTGGTTTGGTGTGCTGATACTTCATTTGGGATTTTTGCATCCTGTGTTCATTAGTACTGTTGTCCTATAATTTTTTTATACTGGTCTTGCCCAGTTTTGCTCTAAATATTGTTTGTTAACAAATGAGTTGGGGAATGTACCCTTTTTACCTTTTTCTGGAAGAATCTGTGTAGTCTAGGAAGGATATCTTGGCTGAATGTTTAAAGATCTTGCTGGAGAAGCTATCTGGACCCGTTGTTTGTTTGCAGAGTTTTAAACTATTGATTCAGTTGCTTCAACAGTTATATGCCTGTTCAGGTTTTTGTTTTAGATGTCATTTTTGATATGTTATACACATTCTAGGAGTTGTCTATTTCATCTGACTTTTCTATTTATTGGTATAAGATCTGTTTCAATGTTAAATTTTTAATGTTCCCAGAGTTTTTAGTGGTGTCCTTCATTCCTGACTCTGCTGATTATGATGTGGCTTTTCCTCTTTTTTTCTTGATTGGTTCTTGCCAGGGATGTATCAGTTTTGAGTCTTATCTAAAAACCAGCTTTTGCCTTTATGTTCTTTACTTTAGTTTTGTTTTCTATTTTATTAATTTATGTTCTCTATAATTTCCATCCTTCTACTTTGTTTGTTGTTANGTTTTCTATTTTATTAATTTATGTTCTCTATAATTTCCATCCTTCTACTTGGTTTGTTGTTATTGNTTTGCCTTTATGTTCTTTACTTTAGTTTTGTTTTCTATTTTATTAATTTATGTTCTCTATAATTTCCATCCTTCTACTTTGTTTGTTGTTATTGTTCTTTTTCTAATTTGTTAACTTGGTTGTACATATGCAGACTTTTTTCTAATATAGCATTTAAGGCCAAAATTTTTTTAAAGGCTGAAACTATTTTCCTATGGCATTTTGTTCGTTATTCCTTAGTTTAAAATAGTTTTAAGTCAGTGAGCTGTTTATAAATAATTACTTATTACTTGGACATGAGGATTTTCTTGTGTTTTTGTTACAGATTTCTGTTATAATTGGATTATCAGAAAATTTGTTTTGTTCGTTTGAATATGATATTTGCACTATCACCTAGTAGTTGGTTACATTGAGAAATGTTTGTGCTTGAAAAGAATGTGTTTTTTGCAGTTGCATGGCGCAATGTAAACTTAAATGTATGGTGATAATTTTCTGCATTCTTACCGATTCTTTGTTACATCAATTCCTTGTTACATGAATTACTGAATCATATTTGAAGGGAGTTTCTTATACAGAAGAGGTTTGAATTCCCATTTTGATTTGTTTATAATGTCTTTTAATATATCTTTTTGTATATTTTTTTAGGGGTTAGTCTAGGTTTTACATTATACATTCTAACTTATTACAGTCTACTAGTACTGACATCTGTTTACATTTGCTTTTAAATAAGCCATCTTAATATTCCCCCTATAATCCAGTTAATTTTTTGGTTGGGGGAAGGTTCTTGCTTATTCTGTATTTTCTTCTCAACTTAAAAAAAAAGTTTTCTGTGGAAGGGCTGAGTCAAGCCTGCCAGTACAGGACATAGATATTATTAATTTTTACTTCATATGACTAAATTTGCTTTGCTTTTGGTGGTAACTTTATTAGAATTTGTGTGTGTGTGTGTTTAAAAACTTTTTTTAGAGCAGTTTTAGGTTGACAGCAAATTGAGAGGAAGGTGCGGAGGTTTCCCGTATACCCCTGCCCTCACAAATGCATAGCCTCCTCCATCATCAATATCCCTCACCAGAGGGTACATTGGTTACAATTCATGAGTCTACACTTACTCATCATAATAATCCAAAGTCCGTAGTTTACTTTAGGGTTTTTATTCTTGGTTTTATATATTATGTGGGTTTGGAGAAGCATAATTACATGTATCTATCATTATAGTATCATACAGAGTATTTTCAGTGCCCTAAAATTTCTCTGTTCTCCACCCATTCATCCCTTCCCATACTCCCAAACCCTGGCAATCACTGATTTTTACTGTCTCCATAATTTTGCCTCTTCCAAAATTTCATAGAGTTGGAATCATACAGTTTATAACCTTTTATTTTATTATTTTTAATTTTTTTTAGTTTATAGCCTTTTCGATTGACTTTTTGAATGTAGTAATATTCATTTAATTTTCCTCCATGTCTTTTCAGGCTTGACAGCTCATTCCTTCCTAGTACTGAATAATATTCCATTGTATGGATGGTAACAGTGTTTATCCATTCACCTACTGAAAGATGTCTTGGTTGGCAGTTATGAATAAAGCTGCTATAAACATGTTTTTGTGTGGTTACAAGTTTCCAATTCCTTTGGGTAAATACCAAGGAGTGTAATTACTAGATCATATGATAAGAGTAGTTTGGGGTTTTCTTTTTTCTTTTTAAAGAAACTACCGAACTGTTTTTCAAAGTGTCTGTACCATTTTGCATTCCCATTCACAACAAATGAGAGTTTGTGTTGCTCCACATCTTCATCAGCATTTGGTGTTGTCAGTGTTATGGATTTTGGATGCTGTAATAGGTGTGCAGTGGTAATCTCATTTTTATATATTAAGTTTTGCTACTCTGTTTTTAAACCAGCTTTTTTCTGAAAGTGTACCAGTGTTCTCTTGTTCAGTTTTGAATGTCATCTGATTGAAGTAGTCTTAGAGTATTGTAAAAAAAAAACTTAGGGTGGAGGGAAGTTTATTAGATGGAAGAGTTGAAAGCATTTGACAACTCAAGAGTGCTAATCACTTTTTTTATACCCCACCCCTGGTTTCTGGTATGGGTCTTTTCTCCTAGTTTTGTACCTACCACTTTGCCCTTGATAGTTAATGCAGGGTCTCGCCTTCCCTTGCCCATCTCTTATATTGGTGGTCCCTACTATCCAGTTCTTGTTTTCATCTCTTCTGGCTTTGCTGGTTGACATCGGGGTGATTTTGTTCATTGTCATAGCTTCAGATTTATTATTTTTCATAGCTTTTGTTCCTTTGTATGTATTATTATTATTTGCCCTGCTTATTTGTATTTTCCCACTGTTTTCTACCTGGAAAAATTCTAATCCTTTAAGCCTCAGCCTTTCATTTAATTTCAGATGTACTTTCAGTTATCCAGTTACCCATTCCCTACCCCTGAGCTTTCCATCTAGGTTAGGAGCAATCTATGTTCCCTTAACTATGCATACCATCCTCATCATGCTTACTGTGGTGTAACTATTGGTTTACTTGTTTGCTATCTTCCCTAGACTAAGTTCTATGAGGGCAAGGGCTATAGTTTTCTATTTTTTTTATTTTTTTTTATATCTTTATTGATTTCAGAGAGAGGAAAGGAGGGGGAGAGAGAGAGAGAAACATCAGTGATGAGAGAGTCATTGATCGAGCCTGCAACCCGGGCATGTGCCCTGACTGGGAATCGAACCCCGATCTCCTGGATCCTAGGTTGATGCTCAACCGCTGAGCCACGCCTGGCTAGCCAAAATGTTTGCATTTAAATGGCGTGGGAAAAGTTTATGATGCAATAAGATATCAAAGAAAGAACATATTTTTTTAAAAAATTTTCTTTATTGTCGAAAGTATTACAGANGGGAAAAGTTTATGATGCAATAAGATATCAAAGAAAGAACATATTTTTTTTAAAAATTATCTTTATTGTCGAAAGTATTACAGATTTCCCCCCCTTTTTTTTAAGTTTTGCCTTCAGGGATATTTATTTATTCATTTATTTATTTTGATGTATCTTTATTGATTCAGAGAGAGAAAGGGAGAGGAAGAGAGAGAGAGAGAAACATCAATGATGAGTCATTGATTGGCTGCCTCCTGCACGCCCCCTGCTGGAGATGGAGCCCGCAACCCAGGCATGTGCACTGACCTGGAATCGAACTGCGTCTCCTGGATCCTAGGTTCATGCTCAACCCCTGAGCTATGCCCAGCTGGGCCACATGTCTCCTTTTTTCCCCATTGACCCTTTCCACCGAACACCCACTCCCTGCCCCAGGCCTTCACCACACTGTTGTCTGTGTCTGTGGGTTATGCATTTATATATGCATATAAATTCTTTGCTTAATCTCTCCCTACCTACCCACCCACCACCACCTTCCCTCCGAGATTTATCAGTCTGTTCCATACTTCTGTCACTTATCTATTTTGTTCTTCAGTTTATTATGTTCTTTAGATTCTACATATAAGTGAGATTATGTGATGTTTGAAAATGCTTAAGAAGGAAATGTTAAGATGCTAACTTGTGGTTGCTTTTGGATGGTGGAATATAATCTCTGTGAGGCTAATTTTTATTTTTAAAAATGGGGTTAACAACTGGCATGCTAACATTAATTGCTGACAATGGAATGAGGTTCTTTGGATGTCTTGTATTTTTATTTAGTGAGTCACATTGTCATTGTTCATCTTTTTATTATAAATGCAATTCTTGCATTAAAAAAGTACATTTTGTTTTCTTTTAAGTCTCTCNTTTTATTATAAATGCAATTCTTGCATTAAAAAAGTACATTTTGTTTTCTTAAATATTAAGTCTCTTCATTTACATTTTAACATAGGACTTCCAGATCTTTTTGTGTATGGGTTTTCATCTCTACAATTTATCATTAGTGCCTAGTTTTCTAGAAATTATTTTTCAAATGTAAAGTTATTTTGTAATCTGCTGTCAGTATGGTTCGATTTACACTTTCTCTTTTTCTCTTTTATCTGCAGCAACTGGAACAGATCCAGAAGGAGCTAAGTGTTTTGGAAGAAGATATTAAAAGAGTGGAAGTAAGATATCAGGAATTTCTCACACTAGCAATTTTTCAATTTCATGAAATTGTCACTTTTTCTTTAAATTGCTGCATTAAATTTATGGGATTGGGCTTCTCTGAATAAAAAGTAACAAATGTTGCTTTAATTTTAATTGAGAGTGCATTTTTTATAGGAAAGGTATTGCTTTCTTGATGATAAAATGTATCCTAAATTTGTTTTCAGTGTGTTTTATTGCCGTAATTAGTTTTGGGCAGGTTGAAAATATTATTCAATTTTGTGTGTGCCATCATATTAACTTAAATCAACTCCCACAAAACCCTCCATTATTAATATTAAAATATCACAATTCCATTCTTTTATTAAGTAAATATTTTTTTACATACCTACTGTGCATTACTAGGTGCTAATGTTAATTTTAAAAAAGATATGAAACCAATAATATTCTTACCAATAATCTAAGAATTTATCGTATGATACAGTTTACTTATAGAAACCCATGGGAGGATCTTTTAGAGGCTCATAGGCTATTATGATGTGAGGCTATTATCTTTAGCTGTATTTAAATTTACTGTATGTTTTTAATTATTCACAGGTGTTACACTTTTGCTGATACATGTTAATTGACATTGAGTTTACTGTTAGTGGAAGTTCAGTATCTATATTGATGTCCCTTGCTTGGCTATATGATTGAATTGAGTTTGGATCAGTCAGAAATAATTCTGCTTCACTATGTATCTTTAGTGGCATTTTAAAATTTGCTATATTTCCATTAATCAAAATATAGAACATAAAAAAGGAAGCCACGTCGTTGGTATTATTCAAAGGCATAATTTATGCAATAATGCTTAATTAGGAGTCCTTTTGCTCTGGGTTAATGATCAAACTTAGAGTTTAAGTCTTTATTAAACAAAGCTAATACTGAATCAAGGGAAGTGTTACTTTTTTTAATGTTTGCAGAGGTTATTTTTAAAGAAGAGACTGACACGTTCTGTTCTTCTGGACTTCAGAGAATTGAACCTGATGATCCAGTTATCATATTGTCATATTTATCAGTAGTCTCACCGAGATCAGTGATTAACCAGTTCACTGTTCACATAGTGTACTGTGTATCTCATTTAGAATACTGTTGACCCTTGAACAACACAGATTTGAACAGTGCAGATCCACTTATATGCAGGTTTTTCTTTTCAACAAATACTGTAAATGTATTTTCTCTTATAATTTTCTGTTTTTTAAATATGTTTTTATTGATTTCAAAGAGAGGAAGAGAGAGAGAGAGGGAGAGAGAGAAACACAGTGATGAGAGAGAGTCATTGATTGGTTGCCTCCTGCATGCCCACTGGGGATCGAGCCTGCAACCGAGGCATGTGCCCTGACTGGCAATCAAATGGTTCATAGGTCGACGTTCAGCCATTGAGCTGTGCCGGCTGGGCATGATTTTCTTAATAACAATTTCTTTTCTCTAGCTTACTTTATTTTAAGAATACAGTATATATAATGCATATAACACAAAATATGTGTTGACTGTTTACATTATCAGTAAGGCTTCTGGTCAATAATAGGCTAATAGTAGTGAAATTTTGGGGGAGTCAAAAGTTATACCAGATATATAGGGAGGTTGGGGGTTGGTGCCCCAACCACCATGTTGTTCAAGGACCAACTATATTTACATTTGTCTTTTTTTGCATTGGTGGCTTTATTAATGATGAACAATATTTGTTGAAGAGTATCTAGTTTTTAAGAATATGTATCTAGAAAAGCTTACCTCTTAACTTTGTGGATACTCTTGAGCTTTTGCACTCTATGGAGAGGAAGCCTTGAGAAAGTTGGATGTTGATACAAAAAAGGACTGATAAAAACCTGGTCATATCTGGTTTTGATTTTTACATCTTCTGTTTGGAGTACCTACTATAACTCAAATAATTATGCTTTCAGGAAATGAGTGGCTTATACTCTCCTGTCAGCGAGGATAGCACAGTGCCTCAATTTGAAGCTCCTTCTCCATCACACAGGTACAAAACTTCAAACTTGTAATTGCATAGGATTTATGTTACAAAGTGCACCTATGGTACTAGTCCTTGGGGACCTTTTCCATGTAATGTACAAAACACCAGAGAAATTACTTTTGGTCATGATCTAGAAATGAGATTCAGGTTACCCACCTGTTTCTTTAATGCTTTGAATTTTCATACCAGGTATAGAATATTATAATATTATGAATTCACTGTTGGATTAAAGGTTTGGTGGATTTCTTAAAATAATGGTAGCTTTAAATATCTAGTGAATTAAAAAATCAGATAACATTAAAAAGCTATAATTTTAGGACATAAAATGGTAGTATTAGGGGAAATTTAATAAAGTAAAACCTTGAGCTTTTTCCATAATTTATTGAATTTTCTTCAGCAGATCACTTTCCCCAGATTTAAAATGAGGGCATTTAGATAGGTGAGTTTAGATCTCCCTGGCATCGTCTCATAACTCTTATTAAGTTAATTAAGNACTCTTATTAAGTTAATTCTTTTTTTCTATATACTTTATTAGAGCAGGGTTTATATTTGTCTAGCTTGCGACTGTTTCCCTAGGTTTTAGAGTGACTGGCCTCGTTTAGTATTTGTGAGATAAAGAAAATGTCTGTGGTTCCTTCTGAAGTTCTATTTGATGAAATAAGTACTACCTAAATTCTGAAAACTTTTGCTTGAAATATTTAAAGAGCAATATTCCATGTTTTTAACTGGCTAATCCATTTAGGCTAATGGTCCAATGGGAGCTTTTTATTTTATTTTTAAAGATTTTTTAAATGGATTTTTTTAGAGAGATAGGAAGGCAGAGAGAAACATTGAGCCTGCAACCTGAGCATGTGCCCTGACTGGGAATCAAACAGGCAACTTTTGGTGCATTGGATGGCACACTCAACCCAGTGAACCATACAGGCCAGGGTCAGTGGAAGCTTTTTAGACAAATAGGTTTTGGATAACGTGGGTTATCATGCAGTTTAATGCCAACATGAGAGATTATAGTAGCCTTCAGAACCTGTGAGTTCAGGAAAGCTATAGTGGGTCTAGTTTGGTACGATATGTGGGGAATAGGACACAGGGATATGTTCTAGTTAAAGAGCTTTCCTGAAATGTTTGCTATTTTCCCCATTAACCATTTTATGGAAATCCTTGTGAATTCTAGTTAATTTGGGGGTCACTTTAGCTAAGTAATTCAGATTGCTTTTCTCCAAGCTTATTTAAAACAGTTGGGAATGACTCCGTCTCTGGTATATTGTTGTATTTAAGCTTAGCTTTCACTTTCTAATATACATGGGATCTTTATCCATGAAATATTTTCTGTGTGAGTACATACAGGCAAGCAAAAGTTGTCATGTCACAAAATATTCACTAATAAACTGACAGTTCCCATTATCATATCCCTCTCTGTGTAATAATAGTAGCATGCCTTTTAGTCTGTTGTGCCCAGGTCTTTATTACTCAGTCTCTCACTGATGGCTTTTACTAACACGTGACAAGATAGTATTATATTCATGTAACTGGCTCTATTTATTCAATACTTCTGATGTGCTTGATACTGTTAAATGTTGAATCTAGTTGGCAAAGCCCCTAATGGTATTTACCTTTTGGGGGAGTGTGTGTGTGGATGTTGAGGAAGATACTAAATAAGCAAAGTTATAATGTAGGAGTAGTAGGTAATGTGTAAATAGCACATCAGGAGGTAAAATTAGGCCTACTAGGGGTTTGCAGAGGTTCTATTTTAGTTTAGAAAGTCAGGCTTCTCCAAGGAGCTGGCATTTAAGCTGATACATGAATGAAGTGTAAATATTGAAAGTCATGGGAGAGTTTTGAGCAGGATGTGATTTAGATTTTAAAGTGTGTACTGGGGTTTCCATGTGGAGCACAGAGAGGAGTTGTGTCCCTTTCAGCCCCCTGCATGGGAAGCCGGGAAGAAAGTGAGAAGTATTCCAACAGTCCGAGGAGAGGATGACTAGGATTAAGATTTTATCCATGGAAGAGATGAGAAGTGGTTGCATTGTAAAATAAATTAGCATATCTTATAAAAGATACAGGGTTTCATGAAATCTATGAAAATGTTGGAAAATTGCTAAAAAGCATGCAAAGCTATCAACAGATAAGATTCTGGTAGACTTAGACTGGTGAATAGTTGAAGAAGGGAAAATAGGCAGACATATTTTCTTCAAAAGAGTGTTTTGACATTTTATTAAAACAAGTAGTTTTAATATTCCTCAGAATTTGAGAGAGGCACTTGGGGAAAATGTTGTTGCCCTTAAATACTCTTGGAAAATGATCTTTAAGTTTGGGATATGAAATTGAACATGTTGAGAAGACTGACATGTTATACTATCAATATTTGATTTTTCTTTATTTTTAAGAAATAGTATGTAGTTGCAATTATAATTCTCCCCCTGATTATTAGCTTTATTATTTAAATGCCAAACACTTTTTGTTTTTATTCCTCACTGTAATGTTTTGATTTCTCTTTTAAGCAGGTTTATTATTTTAAAAGCCTATTTGTAGAGTTATTTCTGTGATGAGGATTTTCTTTATATTTCAGCTTATTGAATTCTGTATAGACTCTGGGCCTATGATTAGCTTATGCGTTTAAATGTAAAGAGAGGAGGACGGATAACGGACCTCCCGCCCCCAGGACTTTGTCTTCTCTATACCATGATTCGCTGTGACTATCATAGCCTGTCCCTTCTCCTTGTGCTGCCTTGTTTAGACTCAGTATCACATAGAGTCCAGCAGTGGTTTTTAACTATTCTACAGCATATTGCCAGAAATCTGATCACACTTCTTTCCTCCTTAAAGTCCTTCAGTGGCTTTCCATTGTATGTAAATTGGTTTAGATCCAGCTTTTTTGCATGGTCTTTCACACTCACCTATACCCTTCCTACCATTTTTTCTTATTAGAATTTAATTTAACTCCCCAAACAGGATGTTAGGGTACCTTTATATATACTGCTCTTTTTGCCTAGAAACTTTGTGGATTCATCTCTTCAGTAGCTTCTCCCCAAGGTTAGGTAATTACAAACATATTTTAAGAAATCTCTGCTATCGATCTATGATCCAGGAGATCTAGATTCTATTCCCGGTCAGGGCACATGCCCAGGTTGAGGGCTCGATCCTCAGCNCTAGATTCTATTCCCGGTCAGGGCACATGCCCAGGTTGAGGGCTCGATCCCCAGCTGGGGGCGTGCAAGAGGCAGCCAATCAGTGACTCTC